CACTATCAACGGTTCACTTTATTTTGAAGAAGCATTTGAAAGTCAGAAAGATTTCTGCTAGATGGGTGCCACATCTGTTGACCGATGAGCAAAAGAGGCAACGGGTTAAGGTGGCCAAAAAGCTGCTTCAAATATTTCCAAAATATGACAAAAAACAGTTTGCCAATGTCGTCACAGGTAATGAAACTTGGGTCCATTATTTTGAGCCCGTCAGAAAAGTTAGCAACAAAATCTGGGCCACAAAAAAACGCCCAATAATTGCCAAATGGTCTTTGAGTGCAAAGAAGGTTTTGTATGCAATTTTCTTCTCTGGTGAAGGAGTCGCAATAAATGTGTCGGTGAAAAAGGGCAAAAGTATCACTGGGAAGTACTACAAAGACGTATTACTTACGAAACTGAAAAAGTATTATAAGAAACGACGCCCTGTCACTGGTTTTAAGCATATCCGTCTTCTACATGACAATGCCCCCGCTCATACCTCCGCAATAGTTTCGGCGTTTTTTTTCAGACATTGCTCCATGTGATTTCTTTTTGTTTCCGAAATTGAAATCCTTCCTTGCTGGGCGGAAGTACAAGTTCCGCCAGGCACTTGAATCTGCAATTCATCTGTACCTTATTACTGTGCACAAATCAGCGTACCGTGACGCCTTCAAGAAGTGGATACATCGGCTTAAATTTTGCATTTCTAGCCCCGGGGCGTACTTCGAGGGCATGAAATCAATAAAGTTTTTCACTAATTTCACCGGGTCCTCACCATTTGATTCGGAAATACCAGATATAACGATATGGTTTTCTCTACTACGGGCCTCTTTGTCTATACTTTTGTATTCTAGTAATCGAAGTCGTTGTTGCGTAACATCTAGCGTAGCGCTTCGAACATATAAATGTGATTCAATATTATCAATTCTATATTTTAAAAGTCACAAATTAGACATCCCTTTGAACACTTTTGAGCTAACTTAAAATTTGAAGTCACCAGATAGAAATAAGCAATACATTTCGAACATCCCTCGTTTGTACACGAGTGTCATTTCGCTAGTGGCTTTGTGAATGCAGCGGATAAGGAAAATAATTGTGTAGTGATATTTTAGATAGTTGTTTTTACAAATCATACAGTCCTAGTCGCTTTTCAATGAAAAACAAGTTCTGTGATGATATTTAAAACCGTAAATATCTGATCTGATAATATCTTCGGCATATTATGTGTAAAGTTGATATGATTTCGATGGGTTATAAACGATGTCAGCGAAGGCGAAGGCGTTATTAAACAGTCATGAAATTGTCCATCATTTATTCTATAGAAGTCGTTTTCTCCTTTTATTACCAGACTCCAGATTTCATAACTTCTCTGGCTGAATTAATATCCATGCGGCTCACTATAAGATCGTACAATACAGCATGCTTTTGATTATCTTTTCATATCAATCAGATTGATTTGAAGAAACAACTGTTTATTAAAAACTGACTCGGCACTTTTAAAGCATTTGTATAAAAGGTGTTCCCAAACAGATATTTATTTCCGAATTTATTGATTTCGCAAATAATTTCAGTCAAGTATAGCTTGATTGATATCTTCAATAAATAGGATATTACTGCAAAAATCTAAATAAAACAAGATAGCACTAACTTGTTTCGATATTTTATGTTTCTCGGGTGAAAATAGTATAATCAAGGTTTTTAAATTACTTTTTTATAAAAAAAAATCACCTTAAAATAGCAATAATACCATGTCTTCAAATTCGAGATGATGTTACACTCTACATGCACACAAATGTAAAAGAGAATATCTTTCATTTGTTTATTAAATTACCCAATTCAAGATTTGAATATATTTTAATTCTTATATTTTAAGAGGAATTGTATAGCATTGGTTTGTGATGACCGTGTTTGAATTAGTTTAAATTACCACCATAATGGCGTTCATATCTTTATTTTAATATTGGAAAGGCTGTCTAACAAAAACGATTTGCTTTCGTATCATATGATATTATTGAGATGTAATTATTGATAAATATGTCAGCGCATCATTCGTAGACATTGATAAAAAGTGATATGTAACACGGGAAACTGTCATCAAATGATAAATTCGGAGAGAAGTTTCATATTTTCTTATCAGTTACCAAGACAAAATATTAAAAAACAAAGATCAACAAGCAATTGTGGCATTCCTAAAATAAACCAGCAATACAGATCCATCGGCAAGGAGCCTAGCAGTGTACTACACAAAAATAGTCTGTTTGTTCACTCTGGCGACTAAATACTCTAAATATGTTAATTCATGTACACCAATGTTGTTTTGAATTTTGAATTAAAACCTTAACATTGCCGAACAATATAGATAAAAGTGCAGACAACCATTTAGTCGTGTCTTACCCTTAACTTGCTGGAACCGGAAGTGATTAGTTTTCGCTACCGGTATAGAGCATGGCCAGTTTGTGATGTTAAAAAGATAGAGTTAGAGATTGCTCATTTTTTCTATTTTATATTTAAATCCCCCAAGCTTCAAGTGGATTGTGTCAGTTTTAAAGCAGAGCAAATTCAGCACTTTAAGGACATAATCGTTCCCTTCGATGTTCAAATACACAAACACACACGCATGCACGCACGCACGCAAAACAAATGACACTCACGAGACGGTATTAAATTTAATTGAGCCGCGCCACGACAAAACCAACATAATGGGTTTGCGACCAGCATGGATCCAGACCAGCCTGCGCATCCGCGCAGTCTGATCAGGATCCATGCTGTTCGCTATCAGCTTCTCTACTTATAATAGGGTTTGTAAACGAACAGCATGGATCATGATCAGACTGCGCGGGTGCGCAGGCTGGTCTGGATCCATGCTGGTCACAAACCCATTATGTTGGTTTTGTCGTGACGCGGCTCAATTATTCTTACTTTGCTTTCTATGTATGAAATTTGTACCAGTAGGCAAGGAAATACATGAGTAGGAAAGGTCCGAAACATGTCGTGAGCTGTCTTGTTATTAACATTACATATAACAATACTTGATTGACAATTGCACAAATATACTGTTATTTTTTTTCCGTATTATATTCATTATTATATGAATTTTAGATATCGATTTTTATAACTACAAGCTGGAGAAGAAGGTTACAATCTATCTAGAACTTTTATATCACTGTCACATGTGGCATTAACCTGTAAAAATAACCACTTAACTTAACGGTTTATTTTATTACGTTTGTGGACGGAATGAAACTCATTAACCATTGAATAATTCCAATTAAAATCTGACGGACAGAAGGACGGATGGACGGTAGGTCGATCGGTCGGACAATACCATTCAATTTTATAGGAGGGGATAATACAGAATCATTTATGTTTAGTTTACATTTTTATAATGGTTTTGTACTAAATAGTACATTGTTTGAATCAGTACTTAATATGTATTTATAAATGAATTCATTTACATACGTCGTATCTGTTTTATAAAATAAACGAGCTTAAAATACATATATAACAGAATCAAAATAACTTAGGACCACAATATATTTTTTATCAAACTATTAGATTTCAAAATAATTCCGATTTTCTGTCATCTACAATATAAAAATGAGTTTAACTAAGAAATCCAATTGCCTGTTATGTTGATATTTACATACTTATAAACGAAATATTGAGAAATATAGATGAAATAAAATGCTTATTTTCATTTTCCGTATTTTCACTGTAAACATTTAATTTTCACTGCAGTGAAACATATTTTCACTGGTGTCTTGTCGGACTACTTTCTTTTGAATTTTTCCAGTATAAAAAATTCAAGGGAAAAACTTTCAAATTGTATTTTTAAAAAGAGAAAACTATATATAATAAACAGAAAATTCAAGTTTTTTCTACAAATACATGATTTATTATCATCTTGTGGTATGAAAATTAACATATTTCACTCGTGGCTTCCGCCACTCATGAAACATTTATTTTCATACCACTTGATGAAAATAGATAATGTATTTATAGAAAAAAACTTGAATATCCTCTTTTTATTACTTTTCTTCCGATGGTTGGAAAATATTTTATATTTTTCCTTTATGTTAAAGTTTTACAAATGCATTAAAAATTGTATAGCATTTCATACTTAAAGTTTAATGTTTCCGTAAAAAAAATTCTTATATATAAATAATGTATTGACATCTACAAGTGACTACATGTGCTGCGTGCAAAATATATTATAGAAAAATAAAGGTTAAAGATCGACAACTCAGTAAACAATATACAATGATAGCTCGAATGGTTACTGTTCTTTAATAATGACTGACTCGACGTTAATATTATTAGTTATAAAGATTGTTGACAGGTTATATGGCCCTATATAAACGGCTGTTTGTAAATATAACCCGAGCCGCTAGGCGAGGGTTATATTGCAAACAGCCGTTTATATACGGCCATATAACCTATCAACAATCTTTATAACGAAATTATAATACAGCAAACATCATTTTTTAGAGAAAAAAGTAAGATTTCTTCATGAATCGACAACAGCCTTGTATATAAAACTATATAAACGTCACAATTATCCAATGAAAAGCGACGTTACAAACGTGCAGTATAATAAAGTATGTGTTATTAGAAAACTTATTTGTAACAATATAAGCCTAAATGATCATTTGTCCAAATGATAATAATCATGATTGGTGTTGTTGGTTAAAAATAAGATTGATCGCAAATATCGGATATATGTAATTTGTCATATCATGATATTTATTTTTATATGCTTTACACTGCATAATAAAAAGACAGATACACGTATCTTATATTTCTATATATTTCTATATAACTCAACAATTTATTTTTCTGCAGTTAATGACTTTTATTTCCTAGTATCATTATAATAAAACGTCCTATTGGAATGTAAATAATACGCAGACTGTGACTATCAATTTATATACATTGTATATATAACAAGTGCCTTACTCGCCTTTGTTCTTGTGTAGTAGTTATATATGCTCTTTGTTTGCAAGCATAGCGTGAAGCCTGTTGTGCTTTTATTTCATTAAAAACAAAACCCTTTACGTTAATGTCAACATTCTATATATAAATGGTGTACGTCTTAAGAGTTATATTGGCATATGTTTTTTTCTTCTTCTTTTTTATATAATAATAAAGCAAAGTAGCCATAAATCGTGTAACATAAATAACTTTTTTACAAACTCTTTTTCTCATCTCGGCATTTAAGGCCTATGTGGATCATCACAGCTAGTGAACACATATTTAATCTTTATTTGTGAACATTTAAAGGACGGAAAACGATACTTTCCACATCCATAAATCATTCTTGTATGGAATATTTAGTAAATTAACGGGATTAACAAAATTGTTCAATAAGAACCCTTAATAAACAAATTCACGTGTTGTTTGGTATGGACATTGAGTAGTTACTACAGTTTACACAACCTACAATGGAGAGTCGGATACGAGAGTCGATACATGCATTTAAAGGCGAGTCGGCTTGGAGTCCTATGCCTGAGCACTTATTGTTCACACAGGTGGACAAGGAAAAGTCGCCGACGCCCATCGCTACGGATGGGGAACAGATCTGTGAGGAATGTGGAATGAAGTTCAAATCCGAAGCGATGCTAACTTACCATAAAGTTGGTTTTTGTGTCGGTCCGTCGACAGATGAACTCTTCCTGGATGAAATTCCAACAGAGTCATCAATTGTGCTTCCTGGTGAATCTAGAGATATACCAACCAATATGGCCAATGTAATACAACACAGTGCTAAAAATACCAAACTACAGTCTTCTAGCCGAGTTATCAAACAGGTTTTAGTTTTGAAAGTTTTATAAATAGATATTTTTTCCATCTTTATTCGTGTTAGTATGTTATCTACTAAACAGTCGACAAAACACATCTTTACATCGTATAATCGTGCTTAAAACACGTTGATAAATAAACTAAATAGCACTGTCTCATATTGAATAGCAAAATTATGTTTGTGCAAATAAGTTTTCTGACATTTCAGGAGCCGCCAAAGTTAGAATGGTGTATGTGCGCGCATGGTGCAGTTGCGCCGGCGGCAATTAAAGTAGGATACGATGATAGCGACCAGACATATACCTATTTATGTAAGTTTCTTAAGTTCATAATTCATAGAAAATATCATATCAATGTTGCTATAATTACAATCTGACAAGTGAGCGGGAATTTGTAAAACATGCATGTAGATAAAGTTAAAATAATCCAAATTCTCTTTTTACAATGTTTATGGTAATTTGACCAAATATATTGTGGTGTTATGTGTTTTGGGTGATAGAACTTGTTTTGCAAGTTTGATTTTGTATGACAGTTATTTTTTTTTAGCTGATTTGGTTCTGGAATATAACATTTCTCAGTAACTCTGACCACTCCTTGTATTGCTTTCAAAGTGACAATATATTAGTTTATTTTCATTTATTTCTTCATAGAAATACTTGGTATTTTCTTTTCCATTATTTAATACATTAGATTTCTTCTATACTTAAAGTTACATTTAATAATTTCATAAAAAACTAAATAGCGACATTTCATTAATAAATTAGGTTTTATATCGACTCCAGATCTTATTTTGGTGTCCAAGCAATCAAAATGAGTTTTATTAGCATAAAAATAGGTAACCTCATTGTGGCGAAATGGTTAGTACAATTTCTGTTTGCATGAGAAACCCCGCCTTCGGATCATCCGTACATCAATATTAAATCAACAAACATGACTATAATTGGCAGTCCTAATTTAACGGTATATTTCCGCATTGTAACGGATGTTTTCATACAAATTTAATCTTTTTACGAGATGATTACTTTTACTGAACCCCAGGTTTAGTGCACCGTGAAGCTTTAACGGTTAAAGTGTGTTTGCACAAGAAAATATCACATTTGCTGTGTTCCGGATAGCAACTATAAAACTGTGACGCAGCGCATACACGAGCTCAGGGGCCTCCGTGGCCGAGTGGTCAAAGTCGCTGACTTGAGATCACAGGTCCCTCACCACTGTAGGTTCGATCCTCACTCGGGTCAAAATCTTTCATGTGAGGAAGCCATCCAGCTGGCTTACGGAAGGTCGGTGGTTCTACCCAGGTGCCCGCTCGTGCCTGAAATAATGCCCGGAGGGGCACCTGGGGTCTTCCTCCACCAATAAAGCTGGAAAAAAATCGACGAAAAATCTCGGCGGGACGCTCTAGGATGACCCGACTTGAGTGTACGGTCGCCCATATGGGCTTTCCGGCGGCGACCTTAAATAAACGCATTAAAAAAAAAAAAAAAAAAAATACACGAGCTCATTATAGTCTTCATTTGCATGTTAAAATTCGTATACGAACTTTAGTGTTACCTTGGGCTTTCCCGTTTAAAATCCTAATTTATGAACAATATTTGATGAGATTTACAACAAAACTTTTAAACAGGTTAATGAAACTGTAGAATGTTTGATTTTAAGGCCGACGGAAAAATATTTTTACTTTTTCATTTAATGTAACTTTAAAGCCTGGTATGTATATATCTATTTATTTGTGAACTTGTTTTTATTGTAATTTGAGTTGTTAATTGTGTAATATGTTGTATTATGTATTTTGTGAAATGTATTTGTCTTGTAAAATATTTTTGTAATGTGATGTCTTATTGTTGTTTTATTTTATAACAGGTTTATTCTTTATTGAATAAATATATATTTTAACCTGATTGACTGTTGTTCTACCAAAACCCAACCACTACATGCATAAAATTATTTGTTTGAATTGTAAAATATAACTCTGTGTATTTTATTTAATTTACCGACAACTAAATATCAAGTATTTCATTCAGGTGTAGCTCAGGTTGGAGAGGAGGTTATTCCAGGTACAGTTCTGCCACCAAGGAAACATGCTACTGTACTATTTAGAGGTGCTGAAATCAAAGCTACAGATTACAGTGTTTTAACAGATCTAGGAGGGTTAGCAACATGGAAACGCTGCGACACAGCAGGAAGCATACCACGTGGTGCCGTCAGGGGAGGATATGATTCTGATGAATTGCAGTATTTCATTGGAAGAGGAAAAGCTCCAGATGGTAACTGGTGTTGTGGGCAATACCTACCACATAAACAGCAGTGTTGTTTCGCTTGGGAAGGGAATGAATATAAGACAAAAGAATTTGAAATTTTGTGTAAAACTACTCCAAAACAGTACTTTAGCAAAGCAGAGATAAACGTTAAGAAGTCAACTGATACAACTATAGCCAAACCTAGGCAGACGACAGTTAATATACCTACAGATATCGAACAAGATAAAACTTTAACTCATGATTTTACAAGGAAGCAAAAATCCTCAACACAGATTTCAATGCATACAGACAGCGTTAACAATATAAATGAACATGACACCTCGGTTATTCTGGAAACTGGACGCCTTACAAATAGGAACGAATCTGCTAAAAATCCAAAGCGACAGGATACTGGTATCTTAAGTCTCGGAAAACCTAGACAGAAAAGGTCATCTGAAATGGTTAAATCTGGAACAGAAGTTAAATCACAAGGAAAGATCACGCCCACCTATTCAAAAGAAAATATCTCAAAAGAAAACAGTAGAATTGTTACTCCGAGAGAACTAACGAAGTCTCGCGCTTCAACAAGAAACGATCACTCAAAAGATAAAAGTAAAAATTTTAACACGCGAGAACTGACAAAGCCTGGTGCTCTAAAAGAACAGACAGTTTCGAAAGAAAATAGTAAAATTGTAAATCAGCGAGAATTAACTAAAACTAGCGTTTCAAAAGAGCAAGTATCCAAAGAAAAGAGTAAGATAGTAAGTCAGAGAGAATTAACCACGTCTGGTGCTTCAAAAGAACAGGTGTCAAATGTAAAAGAAAAGAGTAAAATCGTTAATAAAAAAGAATTAACAATACCTGTTGTCCCAAAAGAACAGCTATCCAAAGAGAAAAGTAAAGTTGTCAGTCAGAGAGAATTAACCACGCCACGTACTTCAAATGGAAACAGTGAGATAGTTAATAAACGAGAATTAACCAAATCAGGAACAATAGTAGATTCTAAGGACACAGACCAAAACAGACCAAACACCGGAAATGTTACAGGCAACACTAATTTACAGTTTTAAAGAACAGAATCGTAAGACAGTGACACGTTTAAATTGCTCAATTTATTACATCTAATAAATGTATACATCTTCTAATAAATTTATACAGATGTATAAAAAGGTTAATTAAACAAATACATTATTAACAGACTATGATAACTGAATGGCAACATGGTAAAGAGATGGACAAACTATTTGAGCACAAATAAGTGTTTAGTTTCGCCTCAATATTACTCGATAAGGTTACATTTCTACAGTAAGCACAAAATTCCGCATAGCCCTTAGTTTAACTATCTGTTCCCATATGGTATTGACAGTGAACTTTGGACAGCATTAATATGTATTTTATGTTAACAGTTATATACAGCTATTTTACTTACATTTTAACATTCATCTAGTATCCTATTGACTCACCTATTGTCTTATGAGTGCGAGGCTGATATGTCAAAGTTGATGGCCGGCTAGTTCAAATGCTTGAGACACAAATTATGGCCTTCAAATAATTTTATTTCAGATAAAGTTTTGTGGCTCAAACCATCAAAATCTGTTAAATAGATTGATGTGCACAATGTAATTTTAAATCCATGACTCGACGTCGACAGGTTAACATAGTCATTGTAGGCATAAGCTGTATTTATTCATGTAATCATCATAGATATCACCATTTTGTAACAATGACGTTTCATGCATCATCATTGGGCATGTGTGTTAAATTCATTCAATAACTGGAATAGGAAATCATGGGTCTCTTCTGTATTTATTGATCGGATCAAAACTGATGCACATATATATTTAGTGTATAGACTTTGAAAAAGTGTACCAGTCAATGCTTCAGATCAAATATACAAGATGTTGGCATCGTAGTTTCAGCAAGGATTAACAATGAATTCCTTTTGATCCATGTTTGATATACCCATTGTAGCGTTCCATTACGCATTGCTGTATATATAAACTATTTTTACTCCAAGTCTAAGTAGGTTGTTTTATCTATGGAACAAACGACGATTCTACCCTAGGGACTTAATACTGTCCGCTACGCATTGCCACAAACTAAATATCTAAACTTGTGACATGTTCTTATAAGTGGAATTCAAATAGTGTCATTCAGAGAGAGGCCAACGTGAACCGAGGTAATGATTGAGGTAATGATTTGTCGGGGAACACTTGGCAATATTACTACATACTCGGCACATTGTAGTTTTGGAGAATTTTGAAGTAATATTCCTTGTTTTGTCTCTTCAAGGAGTGTGACACTGGGACACTTTAGAGCATACATTATTATATAAATTTTGTAGATGTTCCCTTTAGAATGCTATACACGATAGCCAAATATCTAAAATTAAAGCCAAGTAAAGGATAACCTGAGAATACCTGTACAATTTAGTCTTAATTAATCTACCCAGTTGTTTAGACGAATATGTACTTTATTCCTTGAAAAGTGGAGGGACTTTATAGGGAATAAACAAAACAATAAACCACCAGAAAGTTTTTAGAGAAAATGTTATTTTCCTACATGCAATGATAACACTATAACATATCAATGACTGTAGTGAAACAACACATCCTTTAATGCATTTTCAAACTTTACAGTAAAAACTTGCATTTAAAATAAATATATACATCTGTACATAAACCTATCTTCTCTCACACACATTTTTGCTGTTTTTAATCAAGTTCTCATCAAAAGTAACAACACATGGATAAATCAAATACTAATACTAAGTTGCTTAGAAGAATACACAAGTAGATAGTATGTTACACTGTTTGACCAGTAATATTTTGAAAAGATGTTTTTATTATATTTTCTTACATGAAACATATAATAACAAGAGGTGTATGTTTTACAATGCAAATCACCTCACACTATGATTTTCTAGCTTTCTGGGGTTGAAAGACTTCAAAGATGTTAGCAAACTTGATTAATTGGATATCAACATCCATTCATATCTGCCTATACTAAATCTACTTGTGTAATCTACGGTAATGAAACATATAAACTTTTTTTTCAGTAAGAAAATACTAGCATGTGATCCGAGATCTTTTAAATAAGCATTTTCACATTCATATATGCAATATTTAACCTAATCACCTGTAGTGTATTAACATATTACAAGCAGGATGTCATACATTAAATCAGAATGATGTTGAAAGTGTAACATGCATACAAGCAGCAGCATGGCTTGTATTGCAATTTTTGTTAAACACAAGAAACAAACAAATTCATGCTTGATTTTCCCATCAATAACGGGAAACTATATGTTAAATTTCTGACTTATCAAGTGTTAAACATGACAAAATGACAATATTATAAAGGGTCCCTCCTCCCTAATTCTGCTGCACACAGTTTAATGCACTGTACATCATGTGTATGACATTCAAACAAAAACCAGTTACCATAGCAATAAAATAAATTTGTCATATATGGTAAAATGTAAAACATAAAATGTAGTGTATGGACAGCCTAGATGTTATAGTCATAACAGTTACCTTAAATTATGTTTGATGCATGATATACCATTTATAACATAACATAATATATCAGATTCTTACAGCAATGCAAGTCTAGTAAATTCAGGGTAGTAAGTTACTATATGCACTATAACTCTACAATTATCTCATGTTCAGTTGTAGGGCATAAAAAGGGCATGTATACAAACACAATTCTATTACATAAAACAGCACATTTAAATCAATCACTTGTAATAAAATGATGAAAACAAGGAAAGTAAACATTTCAAACTAGTGAAATATACATCAACATCTTGGACCCTTACACGGATTTCAAACCTGTATTTGGTTAATCAAATCCTTCAATAACTAAACAGTTACTTAGACATTTTACATTATACACATTTCAAAGATAATATCTGTTAAAATCATCTATTTCAAATATGCATCTTTTAAAGTAAATATTCACATATTCATATTTACTTTAAAATTTAATAGTGTCGAACGACCTGTGAAGAATAAGCTTGCCTATTAAAGAAAACATTGCATAAATGAAGCAAAAAGGGAGCTTTATGTTGTGTAATATGATGACCAAGTCTTAAAACACAGCAACAAGTCAAGAAAAAATATGAGCCGCATCATGACAAAACCAACATAATGGGTTTGCTACCAGCCTTGGCATCCACGCAGTCTGATCAGGATCCATGCTGTTCGCTTACAAATTCTATAACAAGTAGAGAAACCGATAACGAACAGCATGGATCCTGATCAGAGAGCACAGATGCGCAGGCTGGTCTGGATCCATGCTGGTCACAAACGCATTATGTTGGTTTTGTCATGACGCGGCTCATATGTAATAATCATAAATGTTTACCTTTGACCGTTACCACTAAGATAGATGCAGCCATTTATTCTATTTATAGTTTTATAACTTCTTTGCTATACTTATATATATATATATATACACAAACATTCAAAATCAAAATATTTATAACTCAACATAAACTTATGATGTCAGCAACAACAAATATCACATTTCTTCATTGCTTAACTGGAAAATAAAATGCAGCAGTACAGATTTATTTTGATTTCATTTTCTAATTATTTCTATTTTACTTGCTTAACAAAAAATTCAAATTTCTACAAAATTTTAACAGTTAAAAATATAAAAAATGACCTAACATAATTTAATGGTAACAAATATATTGCCTTCAATGTCATACATGTATCAAATACATAACCATGCATTTTATTTAGTAAATATATCCTCATAGTTAGTCAGGTGCCATTATAAATATTAAGCTGAATCTAACACTCTAACGAATTGTCAACGTAAGCAAAATCAGAATTTAAACTTTAATATTTGTAGCAAAAAAAAAGGTAGGCAAAGTTGTTATTTTCTTTTGTTTTTTGCTCTCTAACACTCATTATGTTATTATTATGTTGTGTTAGTGATGGCGTAAATTCACTAACATATGATATTAACAAATGTGTTACTAAATCCACATAAAATCTGTAAAACATGGCAGTAATTGTTTAAAAGATTTATAAATTATGTAGGAAAATATTGTTAGCCTTCTAACTGCATCTATCCCTAGATACTAATTGTTGAAATTCAACATATACATAACTCTTATCATCGACTGAAGCCTCTTTTTTTTATATAAAAAACATTCTAATTTTGTATTTACATAACCAAAAAAATAATAACATTTCTATATTATTAAACTAATTTTCTGTTTTCGCATTTTTAAAACTATTGTGGCCATGTATGAAAAAACTATAAATCTAAAACAATATCAATTATTATGTAAAATAAATATCAAAATTTACCCCAAAAAACTAAATGTAGTGTAAAACAGTTCAGTAAAAAATCACAAAATGTTTTATTTAGGTGGAAAAAGATAACTGATGTGCCAGGAATGGCTATATAACAAACAAAAGTATAAAATCTAATACTTGACTATATATCCTGAAAATATCAATTATGCTTTAACATTATTTTTTGTTGCCTAGTTAATGACCTCGGCATGCTGATAACTTGTTCATATTTCCTTATATTTATGAAATGATATCAACAACACCTGTAACAGACTCTCTCTATATTCTGCTTTTATAGTAATATAGCTGAAAGATAAAATACTTGATAGGTTGTGATAGGTTCCTCATTATATCAGATTCAAACGAAAAACAATAACAATAGAAATAAGAACTTCTAAACCATTCTTTCTGTATCATGATAAATATATATCAGAATAACAAAATAAAATGATATTTATCAGCTGTAATACAAGAGATGATGCAGGTTTAACAGAACAAGAGGGCCATGATGGCCCTGAAGTCGCTCACCTGCATATAGGCCCCCCGGAGCGGGGCCAGTTTAAACCCCAGGGCTTTTATTTGAACAAACTTGGTAGACACCCATTAGAAGATGTTTCATGCTAAACATCTAAGGTCTAGCTCGTTGGGTTTTTTAAAAGAAGATTTTTTAAGTTTTTTCTTTACACATATATTCAAAAACAATGACACCCCTGGGGCAGGGCCAGTTTTGACCCCAGGGCTTTTATTTGAACAATTTTTGTAGACACTCACTAGAAGATGTTTCATGCCAAATATCTAAGCTCTAGCTCTTTGGGTTTTTTAGAAGAAGATATTTAAAGTTTTTTCTTTTGGTTGCCATGGCAACCAGAGTTCTGCATGGAATTAAATTCTTTGAACAATTTTCAAAGGTGACCACCAAAGGAACATTCCTGTGAAGTTTGGATGAAATTGGCTTAGTGGTTTATGAGGAGATGTCATTTAAAGTAAAAGTTTACGGACGCCGGACGGACAGACGGATGCCGGACGAAAAGCGATCACAAAAGCTCACCCTGTCACAAAGTGACAGGTGAGCTAAAAACAAAATATTACAATCTCACAACATTAAAACCAAATTAATATCTTAAAGAGACAAAAATAAATCACCATTCCATGCGTATAACTTTACGAGTTTATTATCAATTCTATAGCAATACTTTTCCTTTCTTATTTTTTTTTTAATAATACTGAATAGTTGGTGTTTCTTTTAAAATACAATAATGTATCAGTAAATTTCAATCTTATCAAAGTGAGACTCACTCAAATCACCAGTTTTCTAGAAATAAACAAATGGCATCTTGAAATGATTAGATATGACACATTTGTTTAAGGTAATCACTTGTAATAAACAGATCCAAAAATGATTATCATATCACAACAGATATTGAGCACGAGATTTCATAGCCTGATATAGTCTCATCTGTATCTATGGTTACTACGGAAACAAGTCTGAAAATACTTCTCTGTGATTGGTCTGATACTACACTTAAATCTGTGAAATAACCAATCAAAAGCTTTCTTTCAGAGACTGAATTCAAAACAAAAGATAAGTGTCATACATGATGATTTTTACACTGGTTTTTATTCTGAACTAACAATATCAGATGAAACCTTCCAGACCAAGGAAGAGTTTGCTTTTACTAGAAGGCATACTTCTGTTATAAAATTTCATGACTAATGGCATAACAGATTTTAGATAAAAGAAACACATACACAAATACATACAATCTAATGCTGTTATTATCATTTACACATAATTTGATGAATCAAGAATTAAACAATTAGCACATTTGTTTCTTATCTATATACATATTTAGTACATTTCACCAAGAAAAGCTGTACAGAGCAAAATGTTTTAACAAACAGAAGTGTAACAAAAATGAAAATCAAGTCCTTTTCAATAAAAGCAGATTAAATTATTGTTTGTTTTTCAAGTAAATCTTAAAAATTGTATGTTTTTCAAGTAAATCTTAAACTAAAGCTTTAATTTCATACAAAATTCAAATGTTCATGCGAGATCATTGCATTTACCATCACATCAGGATATTAAATCTTTACGTAAATATTTCAGATCAGTAAGTTTTACACTATTCATGTTTTCATTCTTAGACTTTTATGATTTGGTAAGCAGGTCATTCAATTTCTTAATATTCCTTAATACTCAAAAGGTATGAATTTATATGAAAGCAATAATTATTGCTTATTTCTATTTTTTGTCTGCATTAAAATATCAAGTACCTTATTCTTGTTTAATCCTTATTTTATCAAACACAACACAAATATTCCAATCACCAACACTTGTGTATATTTTAACCTTGAAGATCACTTCAAAAAACTCTGATGTGTTTCGAAATTTCACTTTAATATTTCTGTACAAGGGTGTACTTGTCAAATAAAATCATAAAGCTATTGATCTTTTTGCCATGGTTTTTTATCAACTCCTTTATGTGCTGGTATGTGAGAATTCCGGCATTTATCACCATATGTACATCCGGTTGTTCTCCAAAAATAGCACTCATTTCCATTAACTGGTCCAGATTGTTTTTGGTTTCTCACAGCAGTCCCTATTGTGATTGTCCCATTACTGAAATAAAACAAAAATATATACAAATTCTAATCATAAGCTTACACAAGATATTTATATAATAATTTTTATTCACAAAATAATACTTCTGATTATATTCAGGTGAAATCTTCTCAAAATATGTTGAGTAGACAATTTTTGTGCTCATTTTAAACAACACATCATAAAGGTATTATTGCAGTAAGAATTACAGAAATGAAATGTGTCAATTTATTATGACAACTGGGTATAATGTGATTTAGTAGGACTAAAATTTTCCGATTATTAAAACCTTAAATTGAAATCGTATTCTGCACCTGCCTCTTTCTGGTAAAATATAAAACTGTTTTCATGTCGAGGGATTCCAAAACTTTAATACTACTCCATATGAATAATTCAAAGACAAAGAACTTGAATGAAAGGTTCCTTTAATTTAGCTTACAAAGTAAAATATACAATACTTCAAAGGGATAACTCACCAGAAAAAAAAAACAACATTATAATATTTAATGCTAATAAACAATGTAAAAGAATGTGTAAAACATCTTCATTAAACTAACTGTCCAAATTACTTAGTAATCGAGGCCTATACTACATACGTGACTATGTGCAGTAGGGGAAAATATTTACAGAATTAGCAAATAGTGTTAAGAGACTGAAAAGAGAAGAATTTTGAAGAGAACTTTTTATTTAAATAAAAACTTATACATACTAGATATCATCTAACTGCACTGACAATTTTTGAAAAATTAATTCTGTCAAGAAAAAATTGATTTATTTATAAAAGGGACTTTGTTGTGCACTGTCTATATGCTTCAAATAAATTTTCTCTGTTTGTGTTTTTTACTGTGGGTAAAACCACAAATTCAGCTGGTAATTATAACAGAATGCCTATAGGAGTAAGCTCCCTTGAATATCTTTATGGTAATTAAACAGAATGCCTTCAGTAGTAAGCTCCCTTAAATATCTATATGGTAATTAAACAGAATACCTACAGGAGTAAGCTCCCGTGAATAAATATAAAGTCCAGATAAAGACTACAGCAGCTATAAAATCAAGAACTTATAACAGTACACAAAAATACACCAAAAGCTTGCATCAAACTTCTACTAGGCGAAGCTCAGCTACCAAAAGCCCCGACATAAATTGGGAAAAATAAAAGACTGAAGTGAACTGGGGTGTGAAAATGAACAGAAAATTATAATAAAATGAACAACATTGATACAGGTTGTGCACATGGTATAAAAATGAAAATGACAGCATAATGGAAATCATATTAACCACTGTTTGCAAACCCAATTTTCTCTATGATATATGGGATTAGTCTCCTGATAGTACCAGCAACTTTTTTGGTGAGATGTCATAGAAGAGACGGTTACACTGCCACCTAAAGCAGCTAGGAACAGTTAGACCAGTGTTTCAAAATCTGTACTTTATTTTCACCAAAAAAGCATTATTTCCCACAATATTTTATGTACACAGTTCTCCCCCAACATTTTTCATCCTTGGCATTTTTTTCACCATTATCTGAATCTATTTCCATTACATTACTCTTATTCATGGGGAAAGTGATATCAGAAGGGAAACATTTTCTTTTATTCATACATATGAACAACTTCAGGTCAGAAACATATATATCAACCCAGCATATTTCTTTGTTTGGTTTTATGGTAGAAACCAGGTGGCACATACTAGATATTGGCAATTTATTTTCACATCAATGTTTAAACATTGTACATCTTTTACTCTTTTATAGTGTCTATTCTAGGATGCAAAATTTGTCAGAAATTGGGATATTTTCTATCTCACTCCTCAACACACACACAAACACAGGCATAGGAAAAAAAGAGATTTGTTTTACAAAAGGGCAGGCTTTATCATTTTATTATTTCAATTTGGTTAAAAGATTGTATCAAAGTTAATTAATTTTTAAAGAAATTTGTTTTATCATAAGTGCAGACAAATATGACAAATATCAATCAATATACCTATATCAACATATCAATGCCAAAAATATAAGTAGTTAAATTGCATTTCTATTGGGTTTCTTTTGTTTCTTTAATATTGCATAGAATTTTCAGATCCAAAGATAAACACTTTTTTTACAAGACCTTCGAAAAATTGCATAAATCATGAAATTCGCACCCTAGAATAGACACTTGATATACTTTGTACATGATTTTACAACAGCTCTCTCTCTCTCTTTTTATCTCTCTCTCTGCAAAACAATTTTGTAATTTCATAAAAATAATTAAATTCAAATGGTGAAAAATACGACAAGAAAGAAAAAAAGAAGGTAACATTTTATCATGCAGTATATACTTACATTCAGAATTTTCGTTTTCTACCAAAGTCAAAATGCCTAAGAATAGAAGTTTCCATAGTAACTGTTAAATTTATAGAAATATACCGATATCTTTTCTAAAACATGAAACCGTGAACCATAATAAAAAAATCCCCTGTTACAAAAAAGGTTTCCAAATTTATGATTTACAAATGTATATGAAAACAATCTGCAATGTCTCTAAAACAATGTCGCATTCATTTAATAATTATTATTCACTTATCTTAGTAACAAAAAAAAAACCTTTGTTCAGGGGGAAAAAACAAAACCAGGCTGAGCAACTGACCAACATTTTAACAGCATAATCTGCCTAAAACAAAACACATTGACAGGACAGTTGTAAGCACACACTAAAAATAACTAGGAAAACAAGAACATGTTTGGTTAACACAAATGCCCCAGCCATGATTCTTGTGACAAACAAATTTTCAAAACAGGTCTACCCATTTAATCAATTTTGGACAGAAAAATTGCGAAAATAAAATGTTAACAGTTATGTAACTTGACAAAGTCATATCCTTTCGTGAAAAATATAAGTTGACATGTCATTGCTATTTGATGAAGATGAAAAATACTCAACTTACCAATAAAATAAAGACTCCACCCAAACTTAGAGCCCCACCTGAGGAATGTTCCGTCTAAATATGAGGCATTGGTAAAAAAAATAAAGGCTGTAAAAATCTGTTGTTGGCACAGGTGACCATGATCTTATCTAACTACCAAATATGAAGGACATCAGTCAATATATATGACTGTATAAGCCAATCTATTTAACTCTTTAATTGGCACCCTTGACCTTGGCCCATTGACCCCTAACTGAGTACAAAGGAAGAAGACCATGTAAGTAACTTCCTACCAAATATGAAGCACATCTGTTAATAAATAAAGGCTGTAAAGTGCTTAAATATTTTTTAGCACTGATGACCTTGATCTATCTGACCCTTAACTCCATCCAACAGTATGAAGACTTCTCAATTGAAGTGCCTACCAAATATAAGACATCTGTCAATAGATCAAGATTACACCTGTAAGTGTAAAAATCTATTTTTAACATTGGTGATCTTAACCTTGACCAAGATGACACCTTACTAAACAAGAAGAAAGAGAATCTTCCTAGGCATGCCTAAATTGAATATGAAAGATGTCAATTTGAATAAAGGTTGTATGAGCAAAAATGTGTAAATTTATTTTTGACACCATTTACCTTGACCCAGTGACCCCTACCTCTACAAAATGATAGAGAATCATTAAAGGTATCCACTTACCAAATATTGAAGATATCATTTAACAAATGACGTAATTAGAAGAAATTTAATATAAATTCAACTTGCCGGAACAGGTTAACCATACAGGGTCCTATTTCAAATGTGATAAAAAGGGAAATATCTGGGAAAAATACATGGCATAGTTATATAACTTGACAACATCATGTAACTTGTATTGATAAGTAAGTGTAGAATTTATGAAGCCATTAGTACAGATAGAACTTCAAATATATCTAACTTGCCAGTTTAGGTTAACCATATCCACTTTCAAAGTACTGAAAAGGGCAATAACTTGAAAAAAATGGAAGCCATAGTTATGTGACTTGCCCAGATCATGTAGTTTATATTGATTAGTGTGTAAATTATGAAGCCATTGGTACAGGTAGAACTTAAGGTAAATCAACCAGTTTAAGTTGACCTCATACAGACAGACAGTCAGACGAACAGTTCAATTACTATATGCCCAGGGGCATAATAACTCCAACAATTCTAACAGATGCCAAGGGTATCATTCTTTTTTAGACAAAATAATAATAGAAAATAGTTCCATGTCTAAACCACATAATAAAATACATGCTCATTCACGTAATAAAACAAGAATAATGCAAATCCATTTAACTTAAAAGATAAACAATATTAAAGCAAAACATGGAGACACAATATAACTTTTATCAAGACGTATTCCAGTCAATTATCCAACTAGACCAAATGTCTTATACTGATGTGCAAAATGGTGTTGAGATTTTTAGTTTGCATGTCTACAAAAGAGAATCTGACAGAAAGAATGCATACAAACTCTAACACATATGCCCTAGCCAGATTCTTGTCATAAGCCAATATGCCCAAAAAAGTTTACCCAGCTATGAAAGAGGAGATTGCTCAAGACAACTTATTAATACAGTTATATATAACTTGACAGTGATGACCTTTTTTTTTATTGGAAAGAATGTAAATTTGTATGTCACTCCTATGAAGTTCAAAGATATTTACCTTGACATTCAAATATACATAACTGCAAGATATTGAACCCGAAACTAATGGCCCTAAAATTATAAGGTTTCCACCTACCAAATATGAAAGGCAATGATCAGCAAAAAAGGCTGCCAAAGTAAAAAAAATTTTTAAGTATTGGTGACCTTAACCTTGTGACCTTAAACATCAATCAAAGTCAGAGAATGACCCAATTTATTGTTCCTTATAATATGAAATACATCAGTCAATAAAGATAGGCTGTACGAGCAAATATTAGAAATTGATTTTAGGCTTCAGTGACTTTGATGCCAGTCCCCGCTATCACCACAAAAAGTTAGAAGACCATCCAAGTTATCTACCTACCAAATTGTAAAATATTGGCCTATAAATTAAGTTGCTAAGAGAAATACAGGACATTTAAAAATATAAGACATTTTCAA